GTACTAGAATACGTGCTGGAGTACTGACATGCATCAAATGTAGCAGGATCTATGAATTCAGTTTGTACTTACAATTTTGTCAAGTTTGTTATTTATATTTTAGCATCACCTGAAAAGTCTAATTACATTAAATCCCAAGGGATAGTCCCAGTACTTTCTTTAACTGATTATTTTCATAGGGAATTTTACTCCGATAATGATCCATTATTGGGACTTAGAATTTATTTTTTTACAGAGAATATTGAAATAGGTTTAGAGGTTCGTTGGCAAAAAAGTATTTTTAAATACTGTGAAGCACTAGTGTCATTGGTACAGAAATAGATAAATAGAATTCCCCTATGAAAATGAGAGCTTCTTTAAGAAAATGAAGCATTTCGGGTTCATTACTGGTATTATTTTACCTTGCTGGCTTATGCCACTGTATTCTGAGTGGGGGAAAAAGCAAAACTCTTTTAAAACTGTCTCAAGAATTATCTGAGGATTAAATTTAATCCTCAGATACTTTTGTATTTAATGGTTATTGTATAAAGGATTGGTTACATATTTGAACAGTTTACACGACTTTGTAGCCTAACATTTCAGAATGCCAACTTTAATATTAAAATGAGGATATTTTACAAGCCCTCAAATGAGCAGTTTTAAACTTTGAGTCACAAGCCTTTTGGCAGGGGTATAATCCCTTTGAGAGTCCGAAGAGCCACGGGTCCTCTTCTCAGGAAAATCTGTAATTTTGCCTCTAGTTTCAGGGATTTCTTCGAGTCCCCAGAAATCCATCTCTGGACACTCTCGGGTCAGTTTAAAACCTCACCTCAGGTTACCTTCTTGATATGAGAAACCTCTATTCACATACATTTGTAGGCATAGGCATTTAACAAATCTTTTTTGGAGAGTTCTTTAAAATCTATCTTGAGGATTATTTTAAAAAGTAGTAATATCCTTAGTCTCAAAGGTGTAGTCTTCCGAAGTTAAGCTAAGTGAACCATTAAACACCTCCATTGCTACTTAAAATACCAAATAGGTGACTCCTTTTCCACTTTTTCTTGGCAAAGATTTTCTTTTAGGATCTGTAGAAGAGTTTATGGTCACCTAAGGATGTAAAGATTTTCATTAAGGGATTAACTTCCTTTCCTTCGTGTAATAAAATCCTGACATACTTGAAGACTGGTAGCATTCTAATTGAATTTTCAGTTCACTCAGTACTGACCGGACGATTTTACACTGAAAATTTTTTCAGCCTGTTAGTAACAGTGCTTTTGGATTTTGTCAGATATAGGTTGTTATAGAGAGTTTATCATTATATAGAGTTACTTTAAGAGGAACTGGAACTCCTAAGCACTGTTTATAAGTTAAATGTTCAGCCATAAACCAAAGAACAAAAACAAAACTTTACGTTTCCATTTTCTTTACTGTGCACTAAACATTCTAGGAATCTGATTGTGTCTGTCAGTTTGTATACTGTGTAAGAATATATGCATTTCTTTTGTAGCCACGTCATGAATATTTTAATGTCCCTGTGTACTAAATGACTGCTCGTCGTGTATGCAGAATTTCACAGAGGAAATAGAGAGCTGATATACTTATGAAAGAAAATGTCCTCAGCTTGGTGACTATCTTGTATAATAGAGCATTTCAGAACCAATACCTTTACAATTGTAATTGTTTTTCCTGACTCGCTTTTCTTTTTGTTTTATTTTCGTTCTATATGTGATCTTGATGTAGTTTATTCCTGCTCACAAACTCGTTTGATTTCTTGAGATATGACCTATGAATGTTTTGCGTAGTATTTCATCTTACATACATACATGTCCTCATTTACGAACCATCTATGATTAAAGTCTCGCAAGAGGAAATTTTAGCCATCGTTAAAATGTTCACCAAAGAAAACAGAGTGGAAGTGCTATGGCAGGAGCAGTGCGGTGACCTAGCGCAGGGCTTGGTATTCACGTGTTCTGGGAGAAAAGAAGTTCTATTTAGGGACTGTGGTACAGCCTATGTGAGCCAACATATTCTAATGTATCGCAGAAAAGAGTATTTGGAAATACTTCCAAAAAGTAAAATCTGTACTGTTACGTAGTATTTAAGGGTCAAACATTCCCAGTTCTTAAGTTCGTGATGCCACCTGGATTCAGTCACATTTGTGCTGGCCAGTATTGGCCAGTCCCTCGAAGAGTGATCAGAAAGCTGTGTCAGAAGTCTCTGCGACAGGATCTCTCTTCGATAGGAAGTAACATTTTCAAAACGTTCATACCGACCTGGTTTATATAGTTAAAATTCTGATACTCTGCTCGAATACTAATACTTTACTAGTTATGGCTTTATAGTATATATTAAGTCTTCCTTTAAATACTTAATGATTTGTTAACTGTGGTTTTATATTAAGACTTTCAATATTGATCGTTATTGTGTATACTTTTAATAAAACATGCAACTTAATTATAAAAGGAGAAGTACCAAGTAACTCCTTGTTGATAGCTAGAGAGTTTAAAGCCTAAAAGTCAGTCATCATTACACAAATTCAGAAGCAGCTCCAACGGGCTTACCGCTGAAGGAAGACCTATGAGAATGTCGAGCAGGCAGGCGCGCGGAGCACTGCTTGCCATTCTCTGTGTCCTGCATTACATTTGAAGCATCTGGATGGGTTGTCAAATGCGAAACGTAGCTGAAAGCATTGGGAAACGTTGGTCTTTCATTTCCATTTTTTCCCTCTGTCCCTCTCCCCACCCTGCAAGATGTTACTCCTCTGGTTTTAACGCTGAATTCGCATTGTCCCTGCCAGTGCGCTCTGGATGCCGTGTGCTGCGCTGCAACAAGATGTTGCCTCCTTTGTTATTTGTATACAGCTGCTTGCTTTCCATTCATAGACTCTGAAATCGCTTTTCTTGCACGTCTAAAATAAAAGTATTGCATGTACTTTGTCTCATGTGAATGACTTCTTTCTTCTCCATCCCTTTGGACAAATAATATATATTTTGGTTTTTCCAGGTAATTTTATTAAATCGTGTAAAAAAAAAAAACCTAAAGTGGTTAAGCTGGCAAGTTCTGTTAAGTATACAGTTCAGTACTGTTAAGTATATCCACAGTGTTGTGCATCTGACTTCAGAAATGTTTCCTCCTGTGAAACCGAAACTGTATCCATTAAACAACTCTCCATTTCCCTTCCCCTTAGCCCTTGGTAACCACCATTCTACTTTGTTTCTAGGACTGTGACTACTTTAGCTACAAGTTCTTCTAGGTAATTTTGAGCCACAATTTCAATGTTAACATGGGAAAATAACATTTTATACTATGGGCACAATTTGTGAAAGAAACTAATGTACTATTTGTACAAGTCTCAAGGAGTAAAATGTATAAATGATTCCTTTAAGCCAGCCCTTTTAGAAAGGACACATTTTAAATAATGCATATTTGATAAGTAACATGGTTCTCTTCCTGAAATGCTATACAGGACTGCAGGCAGCGAGCACAGAAGGGAAATCGTACCAGCCCCAGCGAATAGAAGGGGAGACATTTTTACATGGTTTAGCGAAGAATGTTAGCCGTGTAGAGTTCAGTGTAGGCGTCTTTTAAGAAATGCAGTAAAGGCCGTATGGTGTTTTTAAGAACTATTTAACATTATCTAGGAACAAGGATGGGGGTTAGGAGCACTGACCCTCCCAAGCAGTTGAAAACCCACATACAACATTTGACTCTCCACAAACTTCATAGCCTACTGTTGACTGGAAGCCTCACTGATAACCTCAATATTCCAGTAACACAGCTTCAGTGGACGTACTGTGCACTGTATTCCTGCAGTAAAGTACGCTGGAGCAAAAATACTAAGAAAATCCCTAAGGACAATACACTTACATACTGCACGGTAAAAAATCTCCATATAAATGGAACCGTACAGTTCAAATCCGTGTTGTTTGAGGGTTAAATGCAAATGATTATTTTTCAATCATTTCATTTATTTATGACATATGTGATTCATGGTCTACATTCTTGGGAGTGTTGCATCTTTTCCATTAGACTTTCTTTAAAAATGATCATGAAAACTCTGAGACATGCTAGAAGGAACCTTCATGTGCACACCCCTCAGCTTCAGCACCCTTCAACTCAGTACTCCTAGTAATAACGCCTGTTGTGTCATCTGCCTGCACCCCCCCCCCCCCCCGTTTTGGCCTCAGCGTTTTAAAGCAAGCCCTGGACCTCATTTCACATTCGATACCGCAGTATATACCACCAAGAGACAAAAGTACCACCACCTCCCCAAAATTAACAGTAACTCCTCATATCTTGTTTCTGGTTCAGTTTTTCCTAATTGCCTAGGAATTACATTTCTGTAATCGGTTTACTAGAACCAGATTCCCAATAAGGCTCCCATTGTATCTGGTTGATGTCTCAATTAAGTCTTTTCATCTTCAACAACTCTGCTTTCCTCCCCTGTCCCCCCCTCCCGCCTTTTTTTAACCTGAGTCCTCCATGCTGTAGAACATCCTCCATTCTGTACTTGGTGGACATCTGGTGGCAGTGTTGACCTTGTTGGCCCATTCCCCATACGTATTTTGATGTAGCCCGGTTAGGCTGAGGGGTGGGGGCTGGGGGGAGGTCAAGAATACTTCATAAAAACCCTTTTTTTCACCAAAGCTGATTTTTACCCATTTTTCATTAATAAACCTACTAAAAGATCATCATGTGAACTTCATACAGCATTGGTTTGTAATATTTTATTTAGTACTGAATGCTAAATACCTTCACGTAGGTAGGTCTCAATTGTGTTATGTTACCAGTTAACATTTTTTGAGCACTTTCCAGAAGTCAGGCACTAAGCCTTCTCTCCCTTAAATGTCTATGCATGAAGGTAAGTACTGTGATCCTTGTGTTCCAAATCAGGAAACAGGCTAGAGTTTAATTTACTTAAGATTATTTCTCCATGTGATGCTTATATATAATTAAATCTAATGTATGGATTTATGGTTTAATATTTTTCTTCTCCTTGTTTTGTGCTGTACCACAATTAGGATGCAAAAGTAAGTTAATTTACTATTGGAAACTAAAAATTGCATTTTCTCCATTAAATTGTCGTATGCCTTTTAATTACAAAATTATTGCAAGTAATAACTGAATTTGACCTGGTCCTGGTTTTGTGATGTGCAAAATCAACCACTTTGGAAAATTTTTAATAATTTTCTAGATACGCCTGCTTGGTTTTGTCTTCCTTTGACATTTAAAAATGAGTATTGGTTGTGGCATAAGACAAAAATATGCCTTTGCTCCTAGAGTTTTCTTTCTCATATGTTGCCTCCACTGAAGCCACTGGTTGCCCGGGGGTGGGCTGGGAAGGTGAGTTTCTGAAGCTATGCTGCTGGGGACAGTTAAATCAAAAACTAAGTAAAAACGCAGAGGAAGACATTTCTATAAATACATGTGACCAAAAAAGAAAAAAAAAAAACCATGAAAAACAAAATTATGTGAAGATTTGGGAGAACTCTGGGTTTTCCCTGGTTTTTACTTAGGGGAGGCTTTGGATTTTAAAACTATGGTAACTTACCTTTCCTGTAGCTAATTTAATAGCAGTGATTTCCTAAATTGCCAATGGGTTTGCCTGCTTTTTGTGTGACAGCAACGGTGCCCAGTACATTGGTAGGTAACCACTAGTTATTTAATGCACGCTGAAAATCTCCTTCTGTGGTCTCTGACATTTGGGGCGCAAAACCCTCAATAACCGCTTGCTTTCAGTATTCGAATGTGCCCGAACCGGCTTGCATTGTTCTCTGAAACTTGCACATCCTTCCGTGTCGGTTTCACATTCTCCGGCCTCCCCGGATCTGCTTACCAGAGTCTCACATTTTCCCTCCACAGGAAGCTGAAACCCCACGTAGTGTTCTTGAAGAAATTGGACTGACATAACTCTCCTACCTTGTTGATGACTTCTTGTGGCATTTCACACACTGTAGATGGTCACTGCCTTCATGTCCATGTTAGCTAATGGTATAAGATGACGTCTTGTCAGTATTACTGTTTTGCTAAGCTGCTTCATTCAGGCCTACACAAATTTTTTTTTTAAAGGGAATTTTTGGTTAATCAAGTGATAACTTAAGGGACTTAAATACAAATTAGAACGATGCAGAAAAAGAAAGGTACCTTTTCTGGATATTTTAAAGTTTATAGATCTGTTTCTCCCAATCGAATCATGTTATCTATGAGAACGACGGAACCAGGCATTTTACATTCATTAATTACCGTCTTTGGCAAAGGAAACTGTTAAATTATATGCAACCTGGCTTTATGAAACCAAAGACTAGTGTGTAGCATTTCAGCATATCTGAGAATAAAGGGAATCGATACTCACATATCAAATGAATTAAAATTTAACTGTTTATATTGAGACTTCAGAAAAAAACCAAATTTATACCAAAGACCCTTATTGGAAACTACATACTTAAAGGGAACACACAAATGACTAAATTGAAATGATGCGTTTTACACTAAAAATTATTTCTCCAGCATTGCAAACCGGGGTCGAGGAACAGAGATTGACTGTTTAATAGTGAACACGTTACTTTTAAGGCCAAGGAACGTTCAATTCCTGAGACAGATTTTTTTCGTGGTCATAACGATTTAGTGACTTAGAAAGCTTTCGAGGCCTCCAGCAAAAACGGAAACATTGACTTACCGGAATTCTTCACAACAGTATCTGAAGAGAAGAACACATTATCTGTAGATAAGTTATTTTCTGTAAGATAAGTGTCGCTTAAGTCATTGTTTCAAGCACGACTTGTTCTTCCTGGGGTGCTTGTTATGGCCAAGTTGATTTTGCTCCCTCCACTTACAAGTGCTGGAAACTTGAGGGCAGCTTCCTTCCCTTCCATGGCAATGCCTAGTTATCAGAAATCTTATAAAAGCAGACACCACGTTTCATGTAAAAGTGAGAGTCGAATGAAGTCAAATGACATTAGTGGGCCCTGTATTTTTTAAAGCTATACAGTTGTTTCAGTGTCAACTTTTATACATACTTCTGTGTATGTAGACACGTCTTCACGGTTTACACTTTGCATTTGTATCTGCTGGGCTGGATTAAGCTTTGTTGTGATTGTGACCAGTACACATATTCAGGCCATGTTAGCGCTGTCTTATCACATCACTGATTAGTTGTAATAAACGTTCGACGTACACCACTGTAGTGTGTTTTTATCTTTCTCTTTGCAAAAGTTTGTCAAACTATGGGGAGCTGCTGAAAGAATTTTAAATTTTTCTCAGCAAAATGTCAAAAATTCACCTCCACGTGAAGGTGGATGCTAAAAGCACACATAAGACAAATGATGGAAGATGTAAGTTTTCATGTACTTCAAGCTCACTAAAGAATAATGTGGCTTCCAAGCTGAGAGCTTATCTACACATTTATTTTCAATCAATAAATGCTGCTTTTAAAACCTTGATGCAGCCGACTTTTCTACTTTCTGAATGAGCAACTCTCATTGCTCCAGGTAATCAAAGCTACTGCAAATCAACAGAACCCCAACCCTCGCCCCACCCCCAGAGGTGCTAGCACGCTCCCCAAACTAGCACCTAACATAAGCCACAACTCAAGCTTTGATTGTGATCGTTACGGGACCTCTTCCTAACTGCAGATGGGAAACTCCACATACTGAAGTGAGACTATTCAAGAATAAGACATCAACTACCATCGGATTCCTAGTCCGCTACACAGATACTTGCAGACATGGAGCGTCTCCAGCACTCGTCTGATTTGTTCACTGAACACAGGCCTCATGGGCTTCTGCTGGTACTATAGAGCTGGAATGTTTAAATCATAAAGAGTAATCAGGTTATAAGTTTAAAAACATTAATACATTTAAGTTCAAGATGGACATTTATCACAATAATGAACCAGTTAACTGGTTTAAAACTCCCTCCCCCCCCAACACACACACACCATAGCACCCATGAACGTTGGAGGGAAAGCGCCCATCATCTCATTACCTTGAGCACAAGCTGGTGGTTACCCTGTTTCGTTTTCCGTGACCTATGAAGGCTATTCAACTTGGAATACCACCTTTAATTATTCATATCTTGGCTGTATTTAGGGAAGTACTGAAAAGTACTGGATTCAGTGAGAGTTATTCAGCATTAGTGAATCCAGTGGGTAATTACAGACATTTTCAATTATTTTTAGGATAAAGCAAGAATTTAAAGTTGAACACATCAATTTTAAAGTAAAATGATATCTGGAGCATACTCCCTTTTATAGACTACATATTAAGAACTCTCCCTTTCAACAGCTAACCACTTATTCAGAAATCCCAACATTGAAATTTCTTTTCCCTGTTAGCTTCAATACTTTGTGCATCCTCAGGCCCTTATTTCCAAATCCCAAGTTACCAAAAGCCACATACTCTGAAATTCAAGATGTCCAGCATGGCAATGGAAAGGTTATGAAGAAAATTAAAAACGTATAAGGAAGCATAATAAGTATAAGCATCTTTTCCTTTTTATGATCTGAAATCTAAGAATATTTTTTCCCGTAAGCTTTTTTTTTTTTTTTTTTAACAAGTTTCTCTGACCACTTTTTCTTTTTAAGTGAGAATTGCTTTAACACTAGGGAGATGCAGTAGCAATGACCATAATTTTCCTGAAAATGACATAAGACCTACCTCTATATGAACAGCTCCCCAACACACTATGAAAAAGATGAAGCCCCTAATGGAAAACCTCCAGCTGAGGTGGGGCTGTGAATATGGGACAGGATGGAGAGGAAAGAAACCGACTTTACCCTCTAAGTACTTTAAAACAAAAGGAATTTTAAAGTCAAAAAGCTGCTCGCCTATTGTATGTAGGAAACCCCAAGAGATTATTAATAAAGAGCAAACAACCAAATTTCACAGGCATTATATACAGGAAAAGTGGCGGGCTCAGCCAATACATACAGAAACAAACAGTTCAACATAAAATTTACCAAACCGGCAAAGATGCACTTGGCGGTGTGGGAACAGCAAAACTTGTTGTCGAGAGAGTAAATTTTTTGTAGCCTTTCCGGAGGGGCAATTTAGAAACACTTCAGGAGTCCTATCTCTTGATGTAACAGAATTTATCCTAAGGAAACGGTCAGAAATGTGTGAAAGTATTTAAGGAAATCCACAACAGGACTGTTTGATTAGCACTGGATTCTTTAATAGTGTGAAATTAAAGATAATTTAAAATCCAACAATAGGGACATGGTTGAATTAATGGACAGGTCCACACTGCGCAGTTAGAAAAAGCAGCAGCTTGATGAAATAGGTTTGGCGGAGGGGAAAAAAGCATTTTCAACTGCAGCCATATGTGATCTCCGTGTTAAAAAGGAAAACACGTGTACAGACGCAGAAGAGGAGGAAAAAAAGACATAATAAGCGCTGCTCCCGTGTTAACATTCTCACTAGAGGCTAGGATTACAGGTGATTTCCATGTTATCTGTACATTTTAGGTTTTCTAGGTTTCTACACTAAACACACTGATTATTAGAGAATAAAAAGCATTTTTAAATAGGCTTCTGGCCGGCTTGCTAACCCATGGAGCTCAGAGCCCTCTACGACTACGCAGGTAGGAAGCAGCCATCATCATAAATAAGATCTGCAGTCCGTGAAGAACAAAGTACGTTTATTTGCATTTGGGGCTCTGGAGAGTTCGGTCTCTGCTGCCTGACCTCCTCCTGCCACGACTCCTGGACCTAGAGGAGCTCTGGCTCCGGCTGCCCCGGCCCCGGCTGCGGTCCCTTTTTCTTCCTCTACTTCGGGAACTGTGCCTCTCGCGGCTCCTGGACATGTGTCTGTGAGACTTCTTCCCCCGGTGACTGCTTCTCCTTTTCCTCTCAGCTTCCCCATTTCTCTTGTAGGAGTGGGATGGACTAGGGCTTCGTCTCCTCCTGGGCCTCCCATAGTACTCATCGTGGTGGCCCGTCCTCTCTCTCCTCTCCGAGCCCTTACCAAAGGAGGAGCCCGTCCGATCGGGAGACAGGTAGATGTCTCGGTTAGCTTCCCAAAACTCATTGTTGGGATTTCTGAACACGTGCAGGAAGTTGCAGTGTTTTCCTCGAGGGCACTGTTGTATCTCAAACAAACCTGCAACGGCACAGTGAGGAAACAGCATTTACCGCCGGGACTCCATCCTTTCCAGAGGGTACGCTGCCGATGGGCAGACGCGACTGACCTATCTCCTCCTGCGGCCTATATAGATGGACGTCACAGCTCTGGCTCCCAGAATTTCAAAAATAAAAGCTCTACCAAACGGCACTGTGAACGGTAACACACCGGAGGTTTTCAGTAAGCCGGGTATCCTGTTCCCCGACCGGATGAGGGGGTGGAGGGCGACAGAACACACGGTGATCACATCGGGGGGGGGGTTTAGCGTTTCCCCATCCCACTGATGGACAGTGTCGAGCCCTAATTAATCCCGAAGAACCGGGCCTTGGGAGCCCCAGGACACGGTGCTCTGAGAGCACGGTGGTGGCAGGACCAGACTGCTGGCCAACAGGGAGCCTGTGAGAAGTGCAGGGCTTGGTATTTTCTTTAGACTTTAAGAAGATGGTCAACATTGGCCTAACGCTTTTAACTTTACCAAGTGCTTTTAATATGGAAGATCCTTGCCATGGTGAAATCTATTTGAACCACTTCAAGATCCTCTTGATGCTCTCTAACTTTTTGAAAGTCCGTAAATTCCCCAAATATGTAAAACAGTTAAAAGTGAAATATCTGCATACCACACATTATACGAAAGGTCAAAATCGATCAGAGTCTTAAATGTAAGACATGAAACCATACAACTGTTTGAGGAAGATATACAGTAAAATCTGCATGACACCAAAAGTACGAACAAAAAAACATAGGGATATAAATAGATAAGATGGATTTCATCAAAATTATAAACTTCCGTACTTCACAGGACATCATCAAAGTGAACAGAAAACCCACAGAATGGGAGAAAATATTGGCCAGTCATATTTGCAAGAGGCTTGTCCGTAGAACAGGTCAAGCACTCTTACAACCCGATAATAAAAAGACAACCTAATTAACAATGGGCAAAGTATCTAAACAGACCTCTCTCCAAAGAAGATACACAAATAGCCAATAATGAGGACACATGAAAAATGTTCAACATCATTAGTTACTAGGGAAAAATAACAAAGCTGTTATTTAAAAAAAAAGAAAAGTAGTCTCCTGCTTTGGGGGAGCCAATGTCACACTCAGAAGTATCTCACTGAAGACACATTGGATTCCCAGGAACTGACAAAAATAATTGCCTTCAGGGGAAAAAAACCAGTTCCATCTCTTCCAGCCCGCCAACTTACACGTTTCAGGCATAATGGTTCTTCTGCTTTCCCAAGCAAGGAATTCTAAATTCTTTGTTCCCCCTTCAGTAAATAGTTTTTGAGTGACAGCATCCATTAAGACCAGGCTGCCAAAGATAGACACTTGGTAAATTAGAGATTCTTTTTAATCAGAGGCTTTAGGCCAGCACGTGTAAAGCCAAAACAAAGCAAAGGGGAAGAAAAGTGCGGCCCTAAGGCACGTACAGTTCCACCTCTTTGCTTCCAGAGTCGATCGACAATGAAGAGTTTGACTAAGGCCATGGACAGAAATACAGAAACAGGGAGGCCTTCCAGAGGGCTGGCTACGCAAAGGACTGACTCATTTCTTGACTGGCCGGCCGCAGTCCGATGAGTCAGTCTGACTAAATGTGCCCTGACCAGATCCTACAGCTCTAATCAATCTCCACTGCACACAAGCGTGTCTTTCAAGCAAGGCAGGAACTGTTCAAGTGCTTTAGGCGGCAAGGATGACAGAAAATTCATTAGGGATAAAGATGGGGCAAAAAACTCAGCTTGAGTGAGGGGCTCCAATGAGGAGAGATCACTTCCAACGTTGCAACAAGGAAAAAGGCTCCCCAAAGACACAGGTCCTCGGGCTTCCCGAAGTTTTGAAGCCCAGGACTGAGGATGAGGAGATAGGAATTCCAGCCCCAACTCTGTCACTGATACACTGCAACTTCTGTCACCTCATCCAGAAAGTGACCCACAAGGTCCACAGGAATGTGAGCTACTTTATAGAACGATCTCTGCTCGTCTAGTTCCTGAGACAAAAGCCATGTTTCACCCCTTTAAAAGATTGTTTTTTGGGGTGCCTGGGTGGCTCAGTAGGTTGAGCATCAAGCTCAGCTCAGGTCTTGATCTCAGGGTCGTGAGTTCAAGCCCCGCACTGAACTTTAAAAAAAAAAAAAAAAAGTTTTTTTCTCTTAAGAATGTCCCTTTACACAACAGTGGAAGCACTGGGGTAAAGTCATCATGTTGTATTTTACCACAAATTGCCATTTTCCATCGGGTCACTGGGCAGAATTCGCACTGAAGCTGCCGTCCTGCATACCATCGTCCATTAAACAGGGAAAGGGCTGCTTGGCATTCTTCTTCCCTTTAAAAAAACAAACAAACCCACAAATTAAAGGATGCCTTTTACAGTAACTGTCTATTATGGAGATGACCCCTATTGTTAACTAACCTTTTTATTAGTTTACCGTAGGACCACCAAGTTCACTGCTTTAGTACTAGGGAGTCCTCATGAGAGCATTCAAGCTCCTGAAAGCTCACAATTTATTCAGTAACGCTTTTTACTAACCCTCCCTGAGGTCCTGATCCATGGAAATCAGCTTGAGTCAAAGCTGCTTAAACCAAAAGACTGGACCATTAAAAATGCACAAGTGTCTTCCACTGTCAGAGCCCCTCCTTTCTTAGCTAGGACTGCTCTTTTTCCTTATTACAATGGTTAATTTAACCCATTAGCCACAGCATGGCCCAGACAAACAGCAGGACAAGCAGAAATGATACACCAACTGCTGTCCTAGAGGGCCGAACGCACGCCGAGATGGCATGGGGCTTCCCTTTCTGGCTTGTTCAATGTATCCTCTTCTGTTATGCCTTTTCAGTGTGTTTTTTAATTATTAAAACTATGTAAGTAAAAAAATAACCATCGTAAAAGATTCAAAACTATGTAAGTATACAACAAATGAAATACAAATGCATTTTCAAGTCCCTTCTCTATGTATGTCTATATTAGCCCTTAATATTTACATTTTTAAAAATACCACGCACATGAAAGTGATCTATTTAGTGGGGGAAACCTGGACAGCAACATAATTCCAACACCACCCGAGACAAAATGGGAAGATGTTTATCTTCAGGATACTTACGATTGATACTGAACATACACATTGCCCCTCAGATGAGGTTCCAAGTTGCAGCTGACCTAAAGAGCAATGAAGATTTAATCATGAAAAAAAAGAAAAGAAAAAAGGAAAAAAAAAAGGAAAAGAAACCCTCCAGTCATCATAATGCACTTTGTCCAGGGTGGCACTACCAAAAGCAGTTCTCATTTGAAGATTCTAAATAGCCCTCCCCGGTCTATGCGGGGCCTCCGCATGTAGCAGCGATAGAGGCCCCAACTATCTGATCCCTGCTGATCCAGATTCATTTTTCACAGACATGAAATGCCTCACACATACGTAAAAATACAGAGACCAAAAATCAACACACAGGTCTAGCTCCCAGGTTCAAGACCAACGCTTTCCATTTTTGACGAAGAACGGTTAAGTACGCAAAACATTCAAGACCCCGTTGAAGGCCTTCCGCCTATGCTCCCTTCCCCATCACAGGGATGAGCACGAACCATCCTGAGGCTGGCGTATCCTTCACGTTCCCAAATGCAAACACACAGATACACATGCACCTGTGTGCACAGACACCAACACTCGTATCCGTATGTATACAGGCAGACACACACATCACACGCACACCATCAAATCCTATACATACTATGCATAGACGTGTCTCTTATGAATACACGGGTGTATTTATGTATACATATGCAAAGCAACTTGTATATATGTACTGATAATGTACAGTACTGCTTCATACATTTTAAATTTTTACACAAATAATGTATATTTTACATTCTTTTTGCACAGTATCATCACAGAAACATAAGGATTCATTTTAACTGTACATTGGATATATCAAATTATCAAATTTATTTATCTACTCCTCTAATGATGACTATCCAGGATGCTTCCAATTTTTCATCAACAAACAGCACTGCAGGCCGCATTCCTGGACATGTCTCTGTGGGGAGAAGGATTTCTCTAGTATGCATAACCACGAGTACCAGGGCGATTTATAGGTTATACGTGCTTTCAACTTCACTAGGTATTCACAAACTGCTCTCTGAAGTGGTTTTACTAATTGGTATTTCCTTGTCCACTCCTGGTATTAACAGAATTTGTAATTTTTTTTACCTGGTAGGTGTGAATAATCTCATTTCATATGTACTGTTCTTACTACTAGTTAGATTGAACATCTGCCTTCAAAAATGACAAATCTGGACAAACAGATCAATGGAACAACAGAAAGCTGAGAAGGAAACCCATGATTATATGGTCAATTAATCTATGACAAAGGAGACAAGAATATGCAATGGGCAAAAGTCTCGGTATTTTGGCTTTTATAAATGGTGCTGGGAAAAATGGTCAGCTACATGCAGAAGAATGAAACTGGACCACTTCGCTACACCATACACAAAAATAAACTCAAAGCGGATTAAGGACCTACATGTGAGACCTGAAACCATAAAAATCCCAGAAGAGAGCAGGCCCTAGCAACATTTTTTCTAGATAGGCCTCCTGAAGCAAGGGAAACAAAAGCACAACTAAACTATTGGGACTACATCAAACTAAAAAGCTTCTGCACAGCAAAGGTGACAATCAACCAAACTAATAAAGGCAACCTACGGCAGGGGAGAAGATATTTGCAAATGGCATATTTGATAAAGGGTTAATATCCAAAACATAGAAAGAACTTTTACAACTCAACACCCAAAAAACAAATAATCCCATTAAAAATGGGCAGAAGACATGAACATTTTTCCAAAGAAGGTATCAAGATGCCCAACCCATGAAAAGAAGCTCAACATCCCTTATCATCAGGGAAATGCAAATCAAAGCGACAACGAGATACCACCTCACACCCATCAGGAAGGCTAAAATCGAGAAGATAAGAAACCAGCAGTGTTGGCGAGGATGTGGAGAAAAAGGAACCCTCGTGCACTGTTAGTGGGAATGCAAACTGATGCAGCCGCTGTGGAAAACACTAGGGAGTTTCCGCAAAAAGTTAAAAAAATAGAATTCCCATATGACCCAGTAATCGCACTACTGGGTATTTACTCAAAGAATACGATAACTAATTCAAAAAGATACATGCACCCTATGTGTATAGCAGCATCATTAACAATAGCCAAATTACGGAAATAGCCCCAGTGCCCATCAATAGATGAATAGGTAAAAAAGGTGTGGCATATATATCCAATGGACTATTACTCAGCCATGAAAAAGAATGAAATCCTGTCATTTACAACCTGGATGGAACTAGACTGTATAATGCTAAGCGGAATAAGTCAGAGAAAGACAAGTACAGTGATTTCACTCATCTGTGGAATTTGAGAAAACAAGGGGAAAAAAAGAGAAACTGAAAATAGACTCTTAACTAGAGAACAAATGGGAAGGCGGATGGAACAGGTGAAACAGATGAAGGGGATTAAGAGTACACTTACCTTGATGAGCACTGAGTTATATAAAGAATTCGGGAATCACTATGTTGTACACCTGAAACTAACACTAGATGCTAACCATACTGGAATTTTTTTTAAAAAAGGACAAATCCGATTTGTTTTTATTCAATGGTATAAGAAGGTCCTCAAATATTGATAGAAATGCTTAGCTTTTATTTTCAAAATGAATCTACAATGTTACAAATTTGTTCTATAGTATTTTTGTTAGAGTACCCAAAAAGAGGCACAATCTGTAATGATCGTTTATAACAGCATCCTTAGAAGGAAGACTAATGATAGTTTATAACACCACCCTTGAGGTCTAAAAGGCCTTGGGAGGCCACGTCAGTTACACCAGTGACCTTAGAGATCATTCAATCCAGTGGTTGCCAAGGACCTATTAATTTTCCATGACGAATTCAATGTTTTGGAATTTTCCTACTAAAAATCTACCGAACAGCTTTCCATTTATAAATGCTAATGTGATTAGCATGAGCTTTGCTGATAAAATTCTAAACGGAAGTGGGGAGGGGGGACCAAACCACACCGTGGCTAGCAGGTGCAGCCTGTTTTAAGCGATGATTTCCACTAACCAGGTGGAAGTTCTAAAGCAGCTCCATTGCTGACTTCATAGAAGCAGTACAACGTAGGGACCCCACAAGGGAAACCGCTGATGGGGTCCAATTCCGTCCCTTTCGGGAAGAGGCAAAGGCAAGAAGAGGTAAAGTGACCCACTCAGGAGCACAGAGCTAGTCAAACCATGAGGACGGCCCGGCTGGCCCATACTAGTATTTGCTGCTTACGCTGAGAAGCGGCGTGAAGACTGGAAGGTGCGTGCAACAGAAGCAAGAGGTAAAAGGGAAAGAGAAATTTTAAAAGATTTTTTCTTTTTTTAGATTTTGAACTCAGGGGCTCCTGCGTGGCTCAGCTGGTTAAGCATCAGCCTTGAGCTCAGGTCCTGATCCTGGAGTCCTGGGATCGAGCCCCGTGTCTTGCTCCCTGCTCGGCAGGGAGTCTGCTTCTCCATCTCCCTATGGCCCTACCCCAACTCCTCCTGCTCCTGTTCTCTGTCTCTTTCAAATAAGTAAATAAAATCTTTAAAATAATAAAATAAAAATTGTGAGCCTAGTGGACAGAAGTATAGTTCTGCGTTTCATGACTGCTGCTGGGTGCTTAGCAGCCACTGTTCCTGGCGGTTCCAGCTTTGCCCTGTCATTGCCAACTTGCAGAGGAAAAAACCTCGTGATTTTATTCTTTTTTCCCTTTCAAATTATGGGACATTTCCCCTACTCTAACAAACCAAAATCACTGCTGTCTGGATCTTATCAAGTCAATTAAGTGGGAGGCCTCAGTATGCTAGGAATCAAGCCCCGGGGTCCCATGAGCAGCCACTGGTAAGTACATCTGCCTTTATTCTTGCCTTGAGGAACCTTTTCCAGTAACTGGGTACTCTCGGTGGCTCTTTTTCACCGGGTATGCTGCATCAGAAGCCACGATTTGGGGAACACTATGTTCAGTACTGAGAGTACTGAAGGCGTAAAGACACTGTCAGAAAAAGGAATCAAAGTTTCTGTTCTTCGGCAGCTCCAGAAGAGTAAGTGCCTCAATGGAAGGTGCAAGCGGGCACCATCCACATCATGCAGCAAACTCAATGAGTAGAGAGCTGGGCAGGGTGAGCACACCGTGGCTCTAGGTGAGACCCACTACAAAGGAAGGGAGGGGCTGTGTTCGGCGTCACGTGCAGCCTCTAACTGAACGCCGGCATGGCTATCTGCAGGACCTTATGCAGCTCGGATCTCATGCAGGCCTGCTGCCGTACCGGCAGTGAGGGCCGGTGGGAAGGGAGTCACATTTACTGAGCACCTGAGTGCCCAACTTTGGACCAGGCCCCGAGCCATCGCACACGCCCCACCCAGGCAGACAGCCTGCGCCCTAGCGCTCCCATCTTCTAGGGCACTTTGGTGGGAAGCGAAGCAGTCCCCTTCTTCATGTGCATCGTGCACACCCACCTTGAACTGGATCACCTTCCCCACGTTCTTGAACTCGGGAAGCACGTCATCATAGAAGTCCAGGAACTGCTGGTAGGTTTCCTCTTCACTGTACTCTAGGCTGGCATCTGGGTCATAGTCATCCCTTCTGCACTGCTCCATTCCAAATGTTGTGAACATGCTTTTAATAAGGAGTGTGGGGCTCGAGGATGGGAAATTGTGTTTACGTGAACACCTGCACATGAAAGGAGAACTTAAATGCAGCACTCCAAGAGTTAGAAATTACACATCAAAAGCTTCCTTTAAATTGGAGATAGAGACTCAAAGAACTTGCTTAACTGCAAGATAATAAACGCCATCCAGGTGTCAAACCGCAACACTTGAACTGCTCTAAGACTGACCAATATATATGTATTTGCTCTCCTTAAGATGTGAAGTTGGGAATTATTTCCACATCCGTATGCCATTCAGCTGCCTTTTGATGAAGTTCACAAAGCCTCATACATGTAAAAGCACAGGAAAAAGGTCCGCTGACATGGCAGACTGTGGTGACAGGCCGACACTGTATGTGGGACTCAGGAGGAAGGTGAGAACACCACAATCTGGCTCTATACCATCTTCTTCTAACTCAGTGCTTAGAGACGAGGGTAATGTAAGAGTTTTGAGCTAACGGACTAGTTCAATTGCACATATGTATACGTAGCATTTCTCAGTGTTGGTGACATTTTTCTATTTCTTCCTCTGATCCTAGCAACCCGTTAGGACAGTCGGGGCTAGTATTTTCTCCACTTTGCAAAGGGAAGCTGAGGCCTAGAGAAGCACTCTTACCCACGGCACACGGCTGGTAAGAGAGGGCCCAGAGATGGGGGTTACCTCCAGTCTAGTGCCCGTTCGCCATCTGCGACAGGATGCAGAGAATTCTTGTGTCATCAGGTGGCTAACCGTTATGAACGATTTTCTTTTCGTAGTTTGAACTGAGCCAGGTTGTACCTGAGTCATTCAAGTCTTACATGAGTCTACTTTATTTAGTTCCCTCTCCAAAAAGGAGGGGGAAAAAACATACTTCAAGGTTCCAAATCATCAGATTTTCCTGATTAGGTTTCCAGTTTAAAAAAAAAAACAAAAACTGGTTAAGACAAAATTTTTAGGAAAAAAACAATCCCCAGAACGGAGGAAGAAAAAAAGTTAAAGAACAAGACAAGTGTTAGAAAAATCAATCGCCTCAAAATGGCTAAATGTTTCCCTCCTCCTCCTCATTTTCCATGTCTAGGATACACATCTGTGCACCATGTGAGACAACAGGGAGGGCCCCCCCCCCACACACACCGTGCCCGGCTCAGAGATGCAGAGTGTCCAGTCATGGGAAATGTTCTGTTCTCCAAAAGACCCTCCTAGATGATTCAGCAGAGACCTCGCGATGAGCTCCACCTTCCCAAGCATAGCTGCCCACAGCACAAAGAGGGAAAGTTCAAGCTGACTGCGAGTGTCAACCGTGAGTTGGAATTTTACACGGAGGAAACACACACAGATTTTAAACAAGGAACCACTTTATGGGGGTTAAAATTCTGCTCATGGGATTATTACATCTGAATGAACCTGGCTCTACTTCCTCGGGTGTCAAGGGAGCCTCTGAGTTTTGGAACTGAGCCCGAATCCCTGTTTAGGGAAAAGCCCCACTTGGCCCGGAGACAGTGCATACAATCTGCGTCTCCATCAGGGCTAGCCCTACAGCTCCTACTGAGAAGTCACCTAAGACAAGAGACATTTGGGGAGGCAATCGAAAGGTGTGATGCCAAACCTGTGTGATTCCCAGAATTACCTGGAAAGAACTGAGATTTCTCAGGTTCTGTTCCAGACCATCTGTTAAGACCTCAGGGTGGGGAAACCCTATTTTCAGAGAAACTCCCCACTTGATCCTGAAGGTCAGCCATGTTTGGGAACCCCTGGTTTAGACTATGCTATTTACTTATGATGCAGATACTAGAATCAAGTAAGACGGCCATGAAACCACACAGTAAGAAGTTACCCTAGCCCAAGGTCAGCCAACGAACCATGTGGTCTCCAGATGGCCCCTCTGGTGGAGCTAACTGACTACACCTTTTTCTCTTCTGGAGGGAGCACTCACTACCTTTGTCCTTCACAGATTTCAAGGTACATGCTGAAATTGGGCTGCTATCATTTACTGAAGGTCTCTGTAAGAAACATTTTCAGGAAAATTATGTAAGCAGCTGTTCATAAACCATCTATCAAAGTTATCGTCCACCTCCTTCCTCGGTGTCTTTACGCAGTACTCCACAGGACAAACATTTAGAATCTGATGCCTGCGAAATCTGTCTTTCCAGAGATACCATGCATTCTTTTTGGCAAGAACTAAATCTCCACCTGGGCTGTGTTAAAATCCAGAGCCAAGTGCACTGCGCACTCACAGTAACGCCCTCTCTCTTCCTTTCCTTGCTTTCCATTTCTTTCATTACACTTGGGGCAGTACATTATAAGCCCTCTTTCAATCACTTCTGGAAACCAGGGAGTTATGAATAACTACTCTGAGAAGTAAGTTTTACCTTTCATCAGTGATTATGTTTTCAGGAGGGGAAAACACACCACCACCACGGAACTCCCTTCAAAGCTGTGACTCCAAGCAGTATCAACTCCAGAAAGGTTCTAGAATTGAACGTGGGACTAATTACAAGACCAGAACCGCCAAAGTAATGCTGGGGAGATGGAAGTGTCTGTCTGAAGTGACAACCCTTAACAGGCAAGAACAGCTGTGTGATTCTGAAGCAAGTCACTGTGGCTCTGGAAAAGGGGAATGGCTTGTCTCCACCGATGGTGCTGGATTTTGTAACTGCTCATTTCATAGCATTTTATTTCATAATTCATCACTTGAATGATGAAAATACCCAAATTGCTCTCATACTTTGATAGCTGTGATCGTGAAATTTCATATGCTTATGAAAATACGAAAAAATGTTCACAAACCAGTCTGCTCACTGTCACTATTGCCTTGGAATGACTCTAGGGGTGGGTGGGAGAGCATGGCAGCCCATGCTCCTTTCCGCACACTAGCACTGCCCATTCAGGACTTCTCTCCTTCTCTCACCTGTGGCCATCAAAAGGAGAACTTAGAATCAGATGACCACAGTCTTAAAATACAAGGCAACGTTAGAGATACAGCATAAATGAGGAATCCTGTAGCCAGAAAACCTTAAAGGCCATCTGGTTCAGCTACTCACAAAAATGTGAATTTATATCGAGTCTCAACTGTCTTTCACAGGTACCTCCCATGTTTTCTTTGGTGGGGGGTGTTTAACATCCATTATTACTATTTCTTGATGAAACTAAGCATATGTTCAGAAGATATTTCTAAAGGCAAAAGGGAATAAAATCTCTTCTCCTTTCCTTAGTTCCTAGTTCCTCAGGAGGCTTTCACTACTGACCACATCTTACAGATCCTCTCACAGGCTTTATACAACACCAGCTATCAGCCGTAAGAGGAGCTGCACATCCCACAGTAGTGGCTCTCAGTCCTACGGTGTGTGCGAACACCTGAGGACATTTCAAAAGTAAGGCCGCCCAAAACCTCAGAGATTTACTCAACCTCTGGTAGGACATAAATTTTTAAAAGCTTTCTAGAGGATTCTAACGTGTACCTGGGTTGAGAACCAATGCTCTTAAAAAAAAAAAAAAAAATTAAAAGGCATAAGGGCTTAACTTAAACAAGAAAAGAGGAAGAGAGAGAAAGTTTGTATTTTCAAAGAAGGACATGAAACTCATGGCTTGGATAATTTTATGAATAAAATAACATGAGTGACAACATATAGTTTTCTCATTAAATACATATGAATTTGCCTATTCGTATCCCTTTTGGGATTAACAGGACCTTAAGAAACGATTAGATCTCTTTTGCAGAATGCTTAATCATTATATTTCATCTTACATAGAGTCGTTCACCATTATGAATTATTTTTCTCCTTTGAATTGTTCATTCATAAATAAGCCAAATGATAAACATCACCAATGTTTGGCATATTATCAAGTATTTAAATATTTGCTTAATGAATGAAGACATCGGCACTTAGTTCTCTACATGAACATCTTGGTTTCAAAAAACGCTGAGGCTTGGGACGCCTCGGTGGCTCAGTTGGTTAAGCGTCTGCCTTCGGCTCATGTCATGATCCCAGAGTCCTGGGATCGAGTCCCACATCAGGCTCCCCAGTCAGCGGGGAGTCTGCTTCTCCCTCTGTCTGCCTTTCCCCCTGCTTGTGTTCTCTCTCTCTCTCTCTGGTAAAGAAATAAATAAAGTCTTAAACAAACAAACCACTGAGCCAAAAGAGGTAGACAACAGAAGTGTCTCAAAGAATAAGGGCAACCATAACACAATGAAAATACCAGTGACCACTGAGGCCAGTGTCTGCCACGTGCCTGCCATGGTGTCTGTGCTTGCCCTACATCCACTCCGTGCAGCCTCACCACCTCCTTCGAAGGGAGAGACTGCTTGTCATCCCCATTTTACAGATGAGGAAACTAAGGCTCAGAAAGCTTAAGGAACTTGCCCAAAGAGAAAGGTGCTCAAGTCTGCTTCTGCACCCTGGCTCTGTTCCTGAGTCAGAGCAGACTGAGAATGGGGAATGAGAATACTTTTCCTCACTCACTTGGGTCCTGGCTTTCACAGATACCCCTTGGGTATTGGGCGTGCCAATTTCTCAAAGCCTCTTTTGCGCACAGTGTTGGCCACTCAAAAATAAGTCAGTAAGTACATAAATAAATAAATAAATAAATAATAAAATAAAATAAAATAAAATAAAATAAGCCAAGCTGCTCCAGGCTCTTGAAATACGTTCTTTCCCCATCCAAGTTGTCCCACGTGGACTCATGCAAGCACAGGAAGAAAACGAAAAGCACAAGGTCTTCATGAAGCTGTGGAAGAAATGCAAAGGAAGCTCTAGGAGAGAACCAGGGTGAGCTGGCCCAGGGAATAGGTACCAGAAGGGCAATGCAACTGGAGAAGCAGCAAGGATGCAGGCGACACCTGACTGGGAACCTTTCAAGCTCAAGCCCACGGTGCTCCCAAAGAGAGAACTAAACAACCTTGACATTCTGATTCACTGAATTCTGACATGATAAAACAAAATGAGTTACCTATCTCCAAATCTGCACGCTCCTGTTTTACTGTAGAATGGACAATTAGCTCGATCTTTCTCCATTATCCTTAAGTCCATGGGTGGCTCTGGGTTTTGCCATGTGGCACCATTTTCCAACTGTTGAAAATAACCATGACTTTTATTGGTGGTATAAAAATCCATGATAAACTTGATGTAAAATGCATTCAAATATTTTGGTCAAAAAATGTATGGGGACTTAAGAATATACACATTTAGGCCATAACAGGCAATCGAGACTTCACAATCGTCCAGAGACATGCACAGTGTCTTTCTTGGCTCCCAGTCATTGCCCAGGACGGGGCATCACCGTGGCTTCTGGGAGCAGTCACCGAAGTCTCCCTGCTGCCCATCCATTCTGAATGGGGTCAAAGGACTTGTCAGGGAACCACGACTAAGACCCAAGGCGCTCTGTAGCAAGTTCTACCATTTATTTCGGGGCAACAGTGCGTGGTGTCGCTCACACACACTTTAAGGACTAGAAATAAGTAGAGTCCGCAGCAAAGGACTTGATACCATTTGCTTTTGTTCATCAAAAACCACCTGCTGCTCTTGCTGCTGTAAAAATCACAGAGCTGCGAAGTGATTCTGATATTCAGATGCGACCTAAATAGCTTACCACAAAATTAACATTCTACCAGAGGAAGAGTTTTTAAAGAAATGTTCACTGGTCTCAAATTCTGAATGAAAGGTTTGAAAATACCTCATTTTCAGCCTGCTCCAGCATCTTCTGCACAGCTTCCTACAAATGGTGCAAACATAGGACTAATGAAAACCTGCAAGTCAGGAAAGTCACGTCTGGTTTCTCTGGTTAAGAAGCTCATGCGTAACGATTCATAAGAGAAAACGAAAACAGAAATCACACCCGCCAAAGGCTTCAGGTTCTAATTTGCTTTCCACAGCACAGATCTTCTGAAAAGCTTTCAAAGGACATAGAGCTGAGAATGTTTATTCAAGTAGGACATTTATTAGCTCCCACTGCAAAACACAGTCTTATAATAGTTTCAGTAACAGTAATATTTAGCGTATTTGATCATATATACCACATTCTAGCTTTCAAGATGAGTGATATAGCATCAGTGAATTATTACATAATGCAATGCTCAGATCAAACGTCATCAACACTTAACAGATCTTAAATTATGACATGAACATAGTAATTAGGGTTGATGAGAAAATCTAAAACTTTTCGGTAAGACAAAGAAGTCTTACAATATACCAGTAAGTTCTGAGCTCACTGTCATTTAAACAAGTTCTAAATTATTCTTGACAGACCTCCCTCGCCCCTTAAAGCATTACATAAAAGACTCGTCTGTCTAGCTGCTTGAGGATGCTGCCCGGTCACATGGGGACCAGGCTAACTCCACGTGCTCGCAGTGCAACTCTGGTTCTTTGTCCCCATCCACCTGAGCGCCCCACATCTCAGTAACAGATGCTGCCATCCACTTGCCCACTTGTTGGACTAACAACCTAGGAAGTAGAACTGGAACTCCTCTCCTTTTCCTTCCCCTCCCTATCCATTCAGTCTACAAGCCAGAGAGCCCCTCTGCCTCTCCCTCCACACACCCCACCTCTGTGTACTTATCCTTACGAAGCTCCGCCCTCATCCAAACGACCATCATGTCCTATCTGCGACAGTGGCCTTCTAACTGGTCATTCTATTTTCACTCCTGTATCCTTAGTGCGGGCTCCCTGTTCTCTACCTTCCCCCTTCTTTATATAAAAGTTAGAAGGATCTGGTAAAGGTAGAGATACAAATTAAATGAAGTCACACCCTGCTTCAAAACCCTGCAATGGCTTCCCATGGCACATAACATAAAACCCAAACTCCTCCTTCCGATCCAGGAGGCCTTACACGATCTGACCTTGTCTACCTTCCTGACCCCTTTCCTTGCCCCCACTGTTCTCTCCTTTGGTCCCCAAGATTCAGGCGCCCTGACATCTTTTCAGCTCCATGGTTCAGGCCTCTTGCCTCTGCCTGGACTGCTTCTCCCCAAGATCTTTGCACTCAGGTATCAGCTCAAACACTGGCTCCTTGGACAAGTCTTCCTTGACCAGGCAATCTAAAGAAGTACATCCCTACCCCAATCACTACTGCATGGCTGTTTATTTCTTTATAGCACTTAGCATCATCTCACAGCACTTAAAATTATTTTTTTGGTTACTTATCATCTGGCTCCCCCATCTAAAAAACTCAAGGAGAGCAGGGACTGTGTTTTTCACTGCTCTATCTCCCTCTACTAGAAAAGTATCCAGAGACAGCAGAAACACGGACTGCATACCCCTTTATACATGCTTACAACCTACCTCATTTTACCTGCCTCTCCGTAATGTCTCACCTGACTTTCTTTGAAACAAAAGCCTTAGCTTTTTTAAAAGCAGCCTTGGCTTTTTCCTAATGCCAGAAAGACCTCAGTTGAGAACATTCTACCGTCAAAATGGGAATTGACTGCTCTATAAAGAATGACAAGCTCCCGACAACTTCCCTGTCTCCTAAAAAGCTAGCGTGGTCTTGCCTCATCTGTAAGGCAGCACTCAAATGAGGGTGTTAAAAATCTGCACTGGAGAGGTGCCCGGGAGGCTCAGTCAGGTGAGCTCCCGGCTCTCAGTTCCGGCTCACGTCACGATCTCGGGTCGTGGGATCGAGCCCCGTGTCAGTCTCCGTGCTCAGCAGGCAGGCTACTTGAGGATCCTCTCCCTCTCCCCCTTCCCCTGCCCACGTACTCTCTCTCACACGTGCTCTCTCTCCAAAATGAATAAATAAATCTTTAAAAAATAATTGCATTGGAATTCACTGATGACCTGAGACACAAAATACAAAAATTTGTGGAGGCTGCTCCTACCCTATCATGACTAGGATATAAACAAATGCATTTTTAACTACCCACTTTTATGCTATTCAGACTTGGGAATATGATAGAAAAGATACATCCTGAGGACTCAGTCAAGGAATGATGAGCTGTGGGATCTTGGAAATAAATACACTGTGTTAAGGAATAGCAGCAAAACAAACCAAAGCAATCTTTAAAAGATTCTGAAAGATACATACGCATACCTTATAGACTCTTTTTTTAACGAGGAACTACGTGTTAGCTACGACGGCCTTTATAGCCAAGGAGGAAAGGCAGTCACGATTTGGCAATAAAGAATATTTCCTAACTCCTCCATATTGGAGTTCCTGATTTTTTTCAGTAAAGTCACTCTTGCTGACATGTTATAAGCAGTTAAATGTCTCATTAACTCAGTGAGGATACCGCACAAAGTATTCTCCAAATGGGCCACCCCATATACAAAAGAACCTCAGAAAAATGGTTCGGTGTGAATGTAAAGAGCTAGAGCAAAAACAACATTTGCCCTAGGGTGGGACAAAGCGGAAAGCAGGGGCCAGCTGCCTGATCTTCAAAATAAAACACCAAAGTTTTACTGGAACACAGCCACAACCATTCATTTACATATTACCTAAGGCTGTCTTTGTGCCACACCAACAGAGTTGGATGCTTGCGACACAGACCATACACGCCATAAAGCCCCGAATTTTTACCCTCTGGCCTTTACAGGGCAAGTCGGCCAATGCCTGGTATAAAGGGGCAAAAGGGTAGTTAAAGGCAAAACTTAATTTAAGGTATCTGCCACCACACAGACCCAAAGAAGAGATAAGGGAACTGGAGCGTGTATCTGTACTAAAAACAGGACTCTTCCTAGACAGGAAAATGAGCCCAAAGCCTGATATGCCTCCAGCTCATTCTTCAGCCCCATCCCACACCGTATCTGTGCACCAAGAGGATACGCAGTGCGTTTATCCTCCTGTGACAGGAATCACCTCTCTTTCTCTCTTCTCCTGTAGCTTCTGTTCCTCCTCTTCTCTCTCTCTTCTTTGCTGCTCTTCCCATTCTTCCTTTAACTTTCTCTTTACCAGAAAAAAGAAAGAGAAGGAACGGTAATTCTTGTCACTTCCTTCTTGAAAACATTTAACATACGGGGCAGATAAATGAAAAACTTTGCCACTGGTAAAATGCGTACGACCCACTTTAAGTTCGAGACCTGTAACTCTTACTGGGAGTTATTTTGGGTTAACTAAGTAGCCGGCCATCGGACTAACATCATACCTCTTGTTCTTCTTGCCGTTTTCTAGCTGCCTCTTCCTTTTCCTTCCTTCTTCTGAATTCTTCTTGTGCTTTCTGCTCCCGAAGCAACCACGCCTCATGTAATTTTTGCCTATAATGTAATGATGTAATCAAATAAGAGAAACGAACACTAATTTACAATTACATACACATAATGATAGCAAAATGACATATTTGAGAATGATCAAGCTATCACGAAAGGTATTTTCTAGAAAGCAGTTAAGTGGAGGGTAAGAGGATCTCTTCCTAGAGGGTAACAGTTGAAAATCCCTACTTCTACACTTCCTGTCCGTGACATCTTTTACACAGGAACAAGGACACTACAACTTGCCCTTTAGGCTGACCATCAGGATGTTTAGGTGTCAGTAAAGATGCCAACAAGTCTCAAGGCCCCATCTAGCTTTTCACGTTCAGAAGGTCCTACTCTTTCCCCTTCTATGCATTTTACAAGCGGCACCTGTGAGACCGCGGCACTATGAAAACCTGGCACCTGCCCCCCTCTGTCTTTGCCCTGCTCCTGCAGACAGTTAAGAGTCTGCCATGGCTTGGGGCTGCCTGGGTGGCTCAGTGGGTTAAGCCTCTGTCTTCAGCTCAGGTTATGATCTCAGGGTCCTGGGATCGAGTCCCGCATCAGGCTCTCTGCTGGGCGGGGAGCTTGCTTCCTCCTCCCTCTCTCTCCCTCTCTGCCTACTTGTGATCTCTCTCTGTCAAATCAATAAAATCTTTTAAAAAAAAAAAAAAAAGAGTCTGCCATGGCTTGTCCCAAGCACAAAAACTGCTCAAAAAAGGGAAACAGAACTCCATCTGAGCAGGTTTTTAAAATAAAGGAAGCTACGGGTTTTGTGACAAGGAGTTATACAAATAAATTAGCAGCTGTCTAGTTTATTTTTAAAAATGACCAATTACAGGGTGATGCTACCTTAAAATGGCAAGCGTCTCAGACATCCAATACTGAAATTTCTAACTGAAAGATGGGTTCCATTTCCTTTCTTTTTTTTTTTTTAAGAGCCCAACGTGGGGCTTGATCCTAGGACCCTGGGAGCCAAACGCAGACGCTTAACCAACTGAGCCATCGGGGCGCCCCATGATGGGTTACATTTCAAAAGTTCAAAAGCCAATCGGGTGTCTAGAACTCAGATTGCATTTTCCCACCGAATTTGTAAAAGGGAAGTGAAATATGAGAAACGGTTCTGTATTACTTCAGCAACATTAGGCGTTACATAAGGTTTTAGTTGTAGTCTGGGGAACCGATTCACAACTTCCAACACCCTATGGGAAAAGAGATTTCATTTCCAGCTACAGATTTCAGGAGCCTATCTTTTCACCACGGTGGAGGTGGGCACATGGCATCGGTCAGTGGTCCTGTGCAGGTTGTGGGTTATGTACAGATGTTTCAGTGTGTAGAACTCTGACTTTGCAGTCTTTTGAAGAACATTAATTATACATAAACCAAACCAAAGCACATATAAATCTAAGACCTCGAAAGAGTCAATGCTGACAGAGCTGCAACTTGGATAACTTGATATACTGTTGAGAAGCAAAACTGGAGACCTCCACACACACAGCTCAGTCAGACCCGGGCACTGGGAGGACCCGAGGAGTGTCTAGCACGGCTTCCAGCAGTGTCAGGCTGTGCCCTCCGGCTGACCCCAGACCCTCATCTCCCACCCTACTAAAATGCCTGCCAGACAATGCTCAAAGCTGCTGGGAAAATGGACTCTGCTCTAGCCAACACAGGACCACAGGCCCCTGCCTTTGCTTTCTTAGAGGATTTACTAAAAATGGCTTATAATTGTGATTTGGTCTCTCTCAAGGACCTGAGAGACATTTCTTGTAAATGTCATCTTTACGAAGGAGAGGGCCCCTGTGTCCCAGCATCTGTGAAAGGCTGGAATCCTAACTTGCCTAACTGCCTGCTGGCCACATTGACCCTGACCAGCCCTTCACACATCCTCCCCTCTCTCATTCCTCTGCGCCCCTACACTCCTCCCGCCCTCTCCCTTATAAAGGTGCCAATCGCCCCAGCATGAATCAGAACGGAGCTCGGCTCTTTCCCCTACAGCCCGGCACTCCAATCTGTTCTCACCACTTCAACATCTGCCTGTGCTAGTCTCTGACACTCTGCATGTGCTTTCAGGCAGTACATCAAGCCATACAGCGTTTCCACAGAATTAACTCTCCTGCTTTTCGGCAACACACTACCTTCCAACTGGTACAGGAACAAAGATCAAAGGAACACAAAGATCTGGTTACCTGATTTAAAAGAAGCACCTCAAATTAAATGGGAAAAGAGAACAAATGACCCCTATTTCATACCATGTATGGCATCTTCATCATAACAGAAATCTCTAACAACCAGAGATATTACCACATCTTGGCGTCTCCTATCTACTAGCACTATGTTAAGTGCATATACTTGCCACCTCATTTCATCTCCCCAATTCCATGAGGTAGGTACTAGGATTGATTTTATTTCCATTTTATCTCCATACTTAAGGCAAGGAAACTGAAGCTTAGAGAAGCAACTTGAGCACAGCTAGAAGGCGGCAGGGCCAGGACTCAAGGTTGTTCTGGCTCAATCGACTCCATGTTCTCCATCACTACTACATTTTCTTTTGGCATTTTGCTGATTGCACCTATTTACATGCTTAAGTGGAGAATAGGAGTGTGAATTACATCCAAAGCAGCAACATTCCCTACTAAACATGCCACTAAATAGCTAGAGATCGCCTATAAAATTTTCTTACTCCTTTTAAAAATATTTTTTTATTGTGGCAAAATATACATAACATAAAAATTTTGGATTTTAATCATTTTTAAGTGTACGGTTGAGTAGCATGAAACACATTCACATTACTATGCACCATTTGGCAAAAGAAACTACCACCTGAAAAATACTAAGCGAGAGAAATAGAAGATTTTCATCATCTTGGGATGGAAGAGGCCTTTTATAGTCCAGAGACCATGGTCAGATATCATGATGAAAGTCGATGACGTGAAAATCCAATTATGGTAAGTAATGCCATAAGCCAAGTTAGGTAGGACTGATGACAAATGAGAAAAACATACATCACACATATGACAGATAAAGGACAAATATCCTCAATCAGTAATAACCTTGCTTACCCAACAAACTTAAAAAAATGTTTCCCAAAAGAGGAAGGTAGAAGACTTAAGCAATCTAAAACAGGTAATAAGATATATTAAAAAAAATATACAAACTTGGGGCGCCTGGGTGGCTCAGTGGGTTAAAGCCTCTGCCTTCGGCTCACGTCATGATCCCAGCGTCCTGGGATCGAGCCCCGCATTGGGCTCTCTGCTCAGGAGGGAGCCTGCATCCTCCTCTCTCTTTGCCTCCTCTCTCTGCCTGCCTCTCTGCCTACTTGTGATCTCTGTCTGTCAAATAAATAAATAAAATCTTTAAAACAGAAAAAAAATATATATATACACAAACTTACTAATTAGGAAATATACATTTGAAACAATGAACTCCAACTTTTCACTACAGGAACTTTAAAACTTGATGCCTGGTGTGAGTGAAGAAGGTATGGGGATACAGGCACCTTGATTCACTGCTAGATGGGCTGCAAACTGGAGGTGCCCTCTCTACGCAACCATCAACATTTTACATTACTTATCCTTTTCCCAACAATTTCATTTCTAGGCATTCTCCTGAGGAAATAATAGGACAATTACCAAGGATATATAAGCATGGATACCCATGGCAACTTTTTATAGAACAGTAAAAATATCTGAGTATAGGGGCGCCTGGGTGGCTCAGTGGGTTAAAGCCTCTGCCTTTAACTCAGGTCATGATCTCGGAGTCCTGGGATTAAGCCCCGCATTGGACTCTCTGCTCAGCAGGGGGCCTGCTTCCCACCCCACCCCCGCCCCGGCTTGCCTCTCTACTTGTGATCTCTATATGTCAAATAAATAAATAAATCTTTAAAAAAAAAATCTAAGAATAAGTAGTAAATAATAGGAAACAAGAAATTCATAGGAAATAGTAAGTGAATGTTATTTAATAGTAAATAACCCAAATGTCCATCAGTAGAGAACTACAGATTATGGATCAAGAATAAATTATGCTACATCCATACCATGGACACTGTGTTGCCACTGAAATGGTTGAATTAGGTATCTGAACCAACACTGAAATATAGGTCCTATATATTAAGCAAAAAAAAGCCATTAAAAATGCATAAATAACATCCCATTATAGACATAAACACATACAGTACATCTACACTCTTACATTTTTAACAGTGGCTATCTTTGGGTTTGCTGAATTCACTGAAGCCCTTTCACTCTTTATACTTCTTTCAATTTTTTTTGCAAAAACATTTTCAAATTAGCAAAAATAGTGAAAAATACTCCCATTTAAGGAAAATTAGGATATCTAATTTTAGTCTCTTAGGTGAAGATTTAAATATTTTATAAGACCTGTTTTGTACAAGGTGTTATAAAGAAGACCTGTACTAGTTTGTAGAGACTTATGATATTTTTAAAAATTTTTTTCTTCAGAAGATTTTTTTTTTAAATTATGACAGGGAGAGGTAGGGCGAGAGGGAACACAAGCATGGGGGAGCTGGAGAGGAAGAAGCAGGCTCCCTGCTTCTGGGACTCGATCCCAGGATGGTGGGATCATTACCTGAGCCCAAAGCAGACGTTTAACAACTGAGCTACCCAGGTGCCCCAAGACTTATAATACTCAAATAAAACAACTGGATTCATGAGGAAGTTCTCCAATCACTGCTGACCTTTCTATCTCCAACAGCTTCTCTTCTTCTAGGTGTTGTTCTTCAATAAAAGCATCCTCCTCCTCCTTCTGTGAGAGTCCTAAGGAAATTTAAATGTTTTATTAAATGATCCAAATATTATAAAACCTTGGTCAATGATTCAGGGGAAAAAAAAGATAAAACCTAACCTTTACAAATATGGTACCAATATTTTTAAACCTTCTGTTTTTAAAACCTTCTAATAAGGGATCCAACTGACCAAATTTGAAAAAGTTTTGAAACCCAAAATGAACAATAATGGTAGATTAACACATTCAATTTAAAGTATTAATTTATGGTTCCACAGTGATACTCAAAAAAGTGGTGGGGTATGAAAAGGAACATTCATCTTTACAGAAGAATGGCAACTAAAAAAATGCAGAAAGACTTAAGTAGAAAAGTAATTTTTGCAACCCCACTTTAAGAACGGATTTTTTTTTTAAATGCTAAAAACACTGGATGAAAGCTTGCTGGGAAGAAGATACTTACACCATTTCAAAACATCAGCTCACAGAGTACTAATTACAAAAGGGAAACTTCCTTTACAATGGAGCCATCAGACTGGCAACACTTTGACCACTCGTAGCAATACTAAGAGGGGAACAACCTGACATTACAGCCCCCCTGATGTGGGCAGTGAGAGGTATACAGCATCAGCTTTGTAGGATTTGCCATAATGGGCGTAACCTGAAGCTAATCAGAAGACAGGCTAATCCAGAATGCAGGGCATTCCACCAGACAACTGGCTTGAACTTTTCACAGTCATCAGTCTTGGTTTGGGAAAGTTCAAGTATGGCCTGCATATCTATCACACACCATTGAATTACTATTCCTTTACTTGGCTGCAAGTCTGATATTATGTACTTCATTCTAAGGAGATGCAGGCTGAAGTATTTAGTGGTGAGAGATCATGATATCTGCAACTGACATGCAATAAATTCAGAAAAAATATGTACATATGTATCTATCTATATAGGGAGTGAGGCAAAATGTTAAAATGTTAACACTGGCAAATATAGATGATGTGTTCATGGATATATGTTGTACCATTTTTTCAACCTTCTGTACACTGAACATTTTCAAACTAAGAATATGGGAGGGGCGCCTGGGGGGTCAGTGGGTTAAGCCTCTGCCTTCGGCTCAGGTCATGATCTCAGGGTCCTGGGATTAAGTCCTGAATCAGGCTCTCGGCTCAGCTGGGAGCCTGCTTCCCTCTCTCTCTCTCTGCCTACTTATGATCTCTGTCAAATAAATAAATAAATCTTAAAAAAAAAAGAATATGGGAAAATATTTTTAATACAACTTATTATATAATAATAATACATATATATAAATTCTTAATCAGAATTTAAATTTGGGGGGGGGAAGGAGGAAAACTGAAGTGATCCTAAGGAAATGTAACAGAAGATCTCAGGCTTAAAGGAAAAAGATTTTCTGTCACATATGTTGAGTATAGGTCTAATCAAAGGCACACCCAGTCCTAGATAATTACAATTTAGTTTTCTTAAGTAAATTCTATTATTTTAGTACCTGAAATTAAAATAGGTTAAAAAAAGAAAGAAAGAAAAAAAACTGGGGTAAATTTTAGCTCACACAGAATAAAATCTAATTATTCAGATTATTAAATGAGCTAATGTTCCTAAAGGGACTTCAGACACCCTGGCCCAGAAGCTATGCCTGACTGACTTAAAGAGGTGTGCCTATAGACTAGGCACTGTCTGGCATAGCTGATACTCAAAAATATCTGTTGCCTGACTCACTCATTCTCTCTATCCTCCCCCAAACAAGCTCACACTCCTCAGAAGTAATCACTAACAGTACCAGGTGTAGCATCTGCTCGATACACATACAAACATAGGCAAGGACACATGTAAGTATACTACACCTAATTGTATCATACATGTAACTGTATAAACTGGAATCACACAACTTGCTTTTGATTCTGAATGCCACCTTAACTTCTCACAAGGCAGCTCATTTCAGGCTATTTCGAATAGAGCTGGATGCTGAAGAGGATACCTATCAATGAGAGGTCAATATTCCAGAAATTTGTACCACCCATTTTCCAATTCACTCTTAACAGCAATTCTTATAGACTATCTCCCTATACTAGCCGTCGGGGTACTGTCTGCCCATTCAATCTGTACTACAATGAACAGCAGTGTTTGGTAGGCCACACTATTCATGAAGCACAACTAAGAATTCGGAGTTGGAGTGGGCCAAAGTAGGAGCAGTAGTCCAGACACAAATGCTTCGACTTGGATCTGCCATTAGCTATATAATCCTGACCAAACCAGGGATTGCACCCTTCAACTGACTAAACTGCCAAAGAACATGATCTGCCTGCGTCTTCACAAAGGCTCACTCCGAAAGCACTCTTCGAAGTCAAAGGGTGGGGGGGAGGGGGAATCCAATGCAATAAAAACAGCTCTAGGATTTAAGAAAGGGAAAAAAGATTAAGTAGTTTAAAAAAAAAAGTTATATTAAAGAATACTGGTTAAGTAAACAAAGGTAGCTGAGATCATTGTGGGAGGGGGTGGACACAGAAACCAAGGGCATCAATAACTCCAACCTACCCTGTGTTTCCCTTTTATCCCTGATACTATGTCCTGCCTTTAGTGGTCTAGTTATGAATAAAAGAGAGATGCTAAAACAGGCTGCAGGCAAACACCCTGCTTCTCCCATTCTAAATATTCCAAGTACCGCTACTAAAAATAAGTACTGGGCAATTCCAAGGGCAAATAAAATGTCTACAGTTATGTTTCACAAGGCGAGAGAACATTGGTTACTTGAGGCCCTTGCCTGTGGACTACCGGAATCGTCTAGATACATTTTTGCAACATATTCAAGTATCAAATCATTACAATGTATACCTGTAACTAATGTGTCAATTATATGTCAAAGGAAAAAAAAAAAAAAAAGTACGTGAAGATCTGCCTGGATAACCTGGATGGCAAAGATTATAATGCAGTACTGCTGTGTGATTTCAGTGCTTCCATCTGCATTCATAACTAATATATAATTTTGTAAGTTATTACTAATTTCATTCTATTAAACAAGCGGGTTTAATATATATTTGTTTAGATTCTGCCATATGAAGGACAAATGACACCAAAGCCAGTAAAAATGACATCACAGCCAGTATTTTAATAGGAAAAAACAACAACTGGTAAATAACCACAGGGCAACAGTAGTGGCACTCCCAACTCCAATCAGTACGATATGCACGCTGAAAGCTTGTCCCACACCATCCCCAACATCACATTAATGTAGATTTGAATTTTACTGGGTGTGTAATTTCACTTGGTTTTATAATCTTGTACATATGTCGTTTGCTAGTCAAATAAGAGTTTTATACCTGGTTTTATGCTTATATATATATACTTCAATGGCACTGATAATAATCCGAGTCAACAAAGGGTCTCTTGTTACTCACGTTTGAGAAAAATTTGCAAAATGTCAACCCCTCAAGTTCTGCTGCTTTTACAAAGGAAAACATTCGCTCAATACTTACTATGTGCAAGGGCTGTGCTAGCTGCTGTAATTCATGATGCCTGCACCTGTAATATCAGATACTTCATAAATACTTACACATAATCAGTGCTTGATTCACCATGACCTTTTTCCCCCTCTTTGGTACGTTAATATCGTTTCTGAAGTAGGTCTAACATAGCTTTACTCGGGAGGCAGCAGACGCCGTAACTCTCAGCAGGTAAGTACTTGGCTTCCTTCTGGCACTGGGGCTTCGAGTTAAGACGGGAGCGGAGAGAGCAATTTCATACACAGAAAACAGGCTAAGGAGTCGGTTACCTGAGTCCCTCAATCGAGCCAGTTCTTGCCGTCGTTTCTTTCGTTTCGCCTTCTTCAGGGCGGCCCTGTACTTTTTGTGGCTGGAAGATTGAAACAGGCACACACCGGCGTCAACTGACCGCACCTGCGGCGCTGCCTGAACGCCCCCCACACACACGCCGTGCCGCGCCCAGTGACAGGAAATCGCTCGGGTGCCGGGGAGTGAAATCTTGCTTCCCGGGTTTTCATTACGGAACACACATTTACTCGCCATTCCACTACCAGATGGCAGGTCTTTTCCATCCCACCGCCTGTTCCCCTCCTCACCTCCCTGAACCCACAGGCGCCCGTGACAGTCCGGGTCGCACCCCGGGAAGGACTCCAGCGGCAGCAGGAGCTCGCGTGCTTGGCCCAGCTCCCCTTTCCTTCCTGCTTACACATCCTCCATGTCCAGCCTCGGGCAGCTCCGTCCCCTCTTCTCGTCGCCTCATCTCCCCCAGCCCAGCTTACCTTAGAATCTCAGGAAACAACATCTTGCCGGGCGCCGCCATTTTGCCAGGACCGCCACGCCCCCCCAAGAGTTGGCCGGAAGAGGCGGGTTTAAGAGGAAGGGCGCGGCCGCGCGCAGGCGCGGGTGCCGCGGGGACTCTGAGGCGAGGGGGAGCGCGCGTCTTCCCGGGAGAAACAGAGACAGAAGATGCGAGGTTCCTGTAGGCGGCTCGTCTTCCAAAACTCTGCACAAACAAATGTCTCCTCCCCAAAAATTCCTACCCCTCCCTGAAAATAATTCTTCCCTTCTAGAGCTTCGCTATTGCCTTATCACTACCTGCCCCAACACCACAGTGGTCTGTCCTGTGGTCAGGAAGTTAAAAGTTACAATTCTCTGCCTCTCTCTCTTGTCCTCTCATCCAATCACTAGCCCTGACCTCACGCAGTCACTCGCCTAGCTTCCCAGCCCGACTGGTCCAGGCTCCGCCTTCTGCGATTCCACCTATCAGCCCCTCAAACTCCAGAGTCGGCCAGTTTCCATTCACACCTACCGCCTCTATAGGGAAACTAACACCTGCGCTGCAAACGAGTAACCTCTGCTCCCAAGGAATGTGCAACCTAGAGGCAGAAAAGGACCAATACTTAGAGAAAATAATATAGTACAGACAACGTAGTTTACTTGACAGTCCACTGGGGATTCAGGGAGAACTTTCTGATGCCTGAGTTTTTTGTTTTTTGGGTTTTTTTTTAAAGATTTTATTTATTTATTTGACAGACAGAGATCACAAGTGGGCAGAGAGGCAGGCAGAGAGAGAAGGAAGCAGGCTCCCCACTGAGCAGAGAGCCCGATACAGGACCCTGGGATCATGACCTGAGCGAAAGGCAGAAGCTTTAACCCACTGAGCCACCCAGGTGCCCCTCTGGTGCCTGAGTTTTGCAGGAAGGTAGCCTTTACTCAGGTGGAGAAGGGTGAGATTCCCAGGTGGGAATGGTAAATCGGCATAAGCAAAGGCACTGAGAAGTGGAATCGGCCAGAATTTTGGCAATCGAATTTAAAGGGAAGTTCCAGAGTATCAGGGATCACAGCAATGGAGACGGGCTAGGACTGGGTTATGTAAAACGGGCCTAGTAAACCATGCCAAGAGGCTCTAATTATGTTCTGTGGCAACAGGAAACCATCGAAAAGCTTTTAAGTTGAGGTTTGTTATCATATTTGTGTTTTAGGTAAATTACTCCAGTTTGCAATATAAAGGACGAAACTTGAATATCATTGTCTAGATGAGCACTTAAACTGGAGCAGTGAGAGTAGGATTGAGAAAGTAAAATCAGCCCTGCTAATAATCAGACTGTGATGTACATATACAAGGGCAGAGACAAGACCAGGGGAAAAAAAAAAAAAAAAAGAAAAGCTTCTCTTAAGGACATGCTGCAGCTGCAAAATGATGAACAATCGCCATCTTTTGAGGAAGACTGGATGACTTCCCTGGCCTAGCTTTGTTCATCTTTCCTCCAAATCAAAATCACTGAGCTACCCAACTACTAAATTGGCCCTGCTTCTCCTAGTCCATCCTGGGAATCATTCAGCAAACACCCCAAACTGCATAAAGCCTTGCCCTATTCCCTAATGCAGAGACACTTGGAATAACACATCTCCCAGTTGACCTTGTCCAGCTCAGTGCATCAGTAATTAGTGTCATAAGCTTTGGAGTTGGACAGATGGGAAACTCAAGCCGTGGCTCTCTGATCTTGAGTAAATTCCTTAGTGTCTAGTCTTGTTTTCTCATCTGTAGAAATCAAGGTAGGGATAATAGTTCCCAAGTGCACGCTGTATGTTGGCAAAGTGCCTGACAATAGTGTTTCTGAATGTTAGCTGTTGTATCATCATCGTTGATGTGAAAACTCCCCTACCTCCTCAAGAGTGGGTTGGTACTTGACCTGCATGTATGCTCTTAGCACAAGTATTTTACCTTTGTAACACCTATCACGCTATATTATACTTCATTGCCTTCACAAAGCTGCTGCTTACAATAAATTTCAAATTCCTTGAAGGTGGAGACTTAATTACAGCCCCTGACTAGAGAATGCCCTGAGTGGCCAAAAGCGTAGCTGTACAAATCACCAATTTTGCTGGTACCTGTGACCAGGAAAATCACTGAGAATCATTGAGAATGGCTACTGTTGTGAAAGTGTCACTGTTTGGGTTGCTGTAACATTTCTCATGAGTTAGACCAGACATTCCTGTCAGAACAATAAGTAAGAATGTCTTCTAGGAGGGGCGCCTGGGTCACTTGGTTGAGTGTCCAATTCTTGATTTCGCTCTGCACTCACTGGGGAGCCTGCTTGGGATTTCCTCCCTCTGCCCCTCCCCGCTGCTTACACATGAACTTTCTCTCTCCAAAATAAGTAAGTAATCTTAAAAAAGACGAACAAAAAAAAAAAGAATGCCTTCTAGGAAGATGTTCCTAATTAAAAAAGGGTACAGATTTAGATTTTATTTTATTATGTTGTACAAATGAAAGTAAATCTCCTTTTATAGGCGTTAGACATTTATCCTCTACAATTAACCACTGAATTCATTTTCCCGAACAAGCTTGAATTGCTCAAATTAACTTCGTAAGTTATTCTAAAAGCCAATTTTATCTCAAATTACAGCTACCCTCATTTGAATTCAATAAATCATTAGATGAAAATAAAGTATGTAAAAAATCTAATGCAAAGATACATTGTATGATGATATCCTAATAAATAGAACAAAGTAATCTTTATTCTGCAACATAACATTTTTCTTGGTTCCTGACATATATACATCATCTACTTACTCTCAGGTAAGTACATTTTAGTTTATCCTCCCTCTATGAGAAAATGCCTAAATTTTAATTTTACATCATCAGCAGAAACTAGAAAATAAAATGACCAAAGAATGATCCATAAATGTATCCTACATTTATTGCAAGCATATCGGGAGAGGAAGAAAAAAAAAAGTCTATTCTCTAAAAGCCAAACTAGGACTCTTTGAGTTAATTTGGATTTTTTCTTGCTCTAGTAGGACTATGGTAATAGATTCATTGAGTGGTCAGTGCAGAAATTCTCAGGAAAGAACATTTCATTTCTTACCTACCATTAATTTCAGAATTAGTCACCAGATTTATTCCGGAACATACAGTGGGGTCTCAAATCCTCTCCCACCATCATTGCTATACCAAGGGCTTTATATATTTTCCAGATTACAATTAGCTAAGATAGCAAAATAAAATACTTAATGTATATTCACATGAAAAGTACATTCAAATCTATATTTACACAACTGATTAAAAGAGGAAAGAACTGGGGTGTCTGGGTGGCTCAGTCCGTTGGGTGTCTGTCTTCAGCTCAGTTCATGATCCTGGGGTCCTGGGATGGAGCCCCATGTCAGGTTCCCTGTTCAGCGGGTAGTCTGCTTCTTCTCCTTCTGTCCCCCCCAATTCTTGCTCTCTGTTGCTCTCTCTCAAATAAATAAAATCTTAAAAAAAAAAAAAGAGGAAAGAACTATGCAGTGATAGTGTTTATTACTTGATTCTTTCGTCCGGTGATAAGCACTTAGCAACACAACGAGCGGTGGTTTAAGAAGGAATACCAGCAGAGTTGCTATCCCCACCTAGAACCCAAACCAAAGTACCATTTCGGAAGAGTGATTGAACTAAAAAAGCAGGAACCAGAATGTACATAGGGATGACAAGTGTCTTAGTCTGTTTGGGCTGCCATAACAATGAACCATAGACTGGGGAGCTTACAAACAACAATAATTTATTTCTCACAGATCTGGAGAGAACTTCCTTACTGGCTCATTGGTGGCCATCTTCTTGCTGTGTTCTCACATGGCAGAAGAAGTAAGAGAGCTCTCTGGGGTCTCTTTTATTAGGGCACTAACCCAATCATGAGACATCACCTCTCTGACCTAATCATCTCCCAAAGGCCCCACCTCCTAATACCATCACATTGGGGATTAGATTTCAACATACAAATGGTGGGAGGGGGATAAACATTCAGTTTTGAACCAGACGCATTACTATTTACATGTTAAGTAGCCAGTATTACTTAGATGTACTCATTATATGGTTAAAATTAGAGCCTATTCGCTTAAATAAACTATCTCCATTTTTGATCAGTAACATTTTATGGGAAAGAATTTACCCAATAAAGTTGAGTTAAAAAGACAATAAAACATTAAGTAGAACAGGTATCAAGTAAATAATGTTGGTTCTTCTAGTGACACAGAAAAATACCTAAAGTGATTATAATAGTGCAATTTTGCTAATAACGCACCAAAAGAAATGCGTCCCCCAGGGAGCAAGGGAAAGCCATCTTCCCCAGTTTTTTTGACGTGGATGCCTGCTTTTAGAATAGCCAACCTTACCCTAACCCATGTAGCTCTGGAAAGGAGAAAAGGACTGGTGGCTCGCCCTGTCGGTGATGTCTTCAGATTGTTCAACGATCTGACAGAAAAAGGTGAGCGGAGAAGGGGGTGGTTTTTGTTTTCCTGCTTTTCTAATAAATCTCTTGGGAGTTTTCCAGTCACTTTCTGATCTACCCGGTAAAGGATGTCTCACTAATATAACAGAAATTGTACATATTTTTTAAAAAAATAGGAAGAAACAGTCATTCAACAAATATTAATATTGTAAAGAAAGGGTTTTATTATAATATTTAATGAAGATGAGCAGCAATGGTAATACAAAATTCTTTCTCAAGCCCGCTGACAGACCTCAAGCCCATTTTCCCCCTTCAAGTTTAGGAAGGTACAAGTGAAGCACTTTTGGAGGCACAGAAGACAAAAAGTTTCTTGTTAGGGTGTCTCAGTAGCCCCAGAATCTGTAGCACCCCTTTGGAGGTCATATGACTAAGGCAGGGGGTGGAAAGCATACCTCCCCAAGACAGTTTCCATAACCTCTCTGGAGAAGGTGACCAAGAATTTATCATGCAAACCAGGACACAGCTGAAAGTGAGAGAATGCTGTTAATAATCACACCAGAACCCCAGGTGCAAGTAAATCACGAGTGGCAAACCAGGACACACCCAATAAATACATCTTTGGAGCTCTAAGATTTAAGGACAAATCAGGTCTTGGTACATGG